CACTCAGCAGAACCGCTGTGGTGGGTGTCTTCATTCCCTGGCTCCTCTGCCCTCCCGTGCAGCTGTCTGCTCTGCTCCATGCTGGCATCAGGTGTGGCAGGACGCTGGCGTGGCGCGGTCCGAGCGTGGCTCTGCCCTCTGCAAGAGGAAGCCACGTGACGCGATTTCAGCAAGAGTGCCAGCGCCACCCCAGACCTCAGCGAGGTCACACACTCATGTGTTTTTCCTGTATGAATGTCTCTCTCTGCCCTTCTCTTTCTACTTGTCTCCCTCTGCCCCTCTCTCAGTTCAATTCACAAAGCTTTATTGGCATGACCAATGAGCATCAGGGTTGCCAAAGCACAAACAATGAACACAACATTTACAATATAGACACATCATAATACATTGACATACAAACATATGGAGCATTATTGAGAGACAGGCTCAGTGTTCCTCAGGCTGGGACAGGAGATCACATACTGCTCATACTAGAAAGACTAGCCCTCTTTCCCTAACTGCCCCCTCTCTCTCCTTGTCTGTCTCTATCTCTCTCCCTGTCTGTCTCTATCTCTCTCCCTGTCTGTCTCTCTCCCTCTCTCTCCTTGTCCGTCTCTCTATCCCTCTCTCTCCCTGTCTGTCTCTCTATCCCTCTCTCTCCCTGTCTCTCTATCCCTCTCTCTCTCCCTGTCTGTCTCTCTATCCCTCTCTCTCTCCTTGTCTGTCTCTATCCCTCTCTCCCTGCTCTGCCCCTCTCTCTCTGGTTGTGCCGGAGCGTGGGAGCGAGGGTAGGGAGGGTAGGGAGATGCTGCTGGAGGAATGCGGACAGAGAGAGTGTGGACGTGCGAGATGGAGGGGAGAGGGACAATCAGACTTTGTTCTAGGAGCAGGAGAGCTCCTGTCTGAGAGTCACAGGAGAGGGACAGCAGGCCTGATCCACACAGCAGACACACACGCTCTGATACACACACACACTGATACACACACAGCAAACAAATACACACAAACTCTGATTCACAGCAAACACACACACAGCAGACACACACGCTCTGATACACACTCAACAGAAACACACTGATACATGCATAACAGACAAAAATGCTCTGATACACACTCAACAGACAGACACACACTGATTCACACACAGCATAAACTCACACACTGATACACATACTGTACAGTGACACACACACACTGATACACACAGCAGACACACGCTCTCTGATACACACTCAACAGACACACACACACTGAAACACACTCAATAGACACACACACACTGATACACACACAGCAGACATACAGGCTCTGATGCACACTCAACAGACGCACACAATTCAATTCAATTCAAGGTGCTTTATTGGCATGACCAATGAGAAAATCAGTGTTTCCAAAGCAAAACGAATACAATTAACATAAAACAAAAATCTACAGACATTTACAATAAAGACACGATCATATGATATTTACATATAAACATATGGAGCATTATTGGGAGACAGGCTCACTGTTCCAGGAGGTCACATACTGGGAGTTCCCTCCTCCCTCTCCCAGTAGGATTGGGACTTGTTGTGACTCTGGCAGGTGTGGGAACTCTGGGATTAGATTTGTAAATTTAGGGTAGAATGTTTCTCTAATCCCAGAGTATCTGTCACAGTGCAGTAGGAAGTGCCCCTCTGGCACTATTTCTCCCCGCTGGCAGTGGGAGCACAGCCTGTCCTCTCTGGGCAGCCAGGTCTGCCTGTGTCGCCCAGTTTCCATGACCAGGCTGTGGTCACTGAGCCTGTACTTCGTCAGGGTCCGTTTCTTTTTGCTTTCTCTTTTCTTGGTCAATTATTCGGCTAGTGTGTATTGTCTGTTTAGGGTTCTGAAGCATTCTGTAGCATTCCTCGGGTCAGTGAGGCTCAGGACCAGCTGGCGCAGGGGGGCTCTGTTTTGGGCTCAGCTCCTGGCTCAGAAGGGCCTTGTGGTGGTAGGAATTTTGGTCACTGTTTTTTAGGTGTAGCCAATACTTTAATATTCTTTTCTGTATGTTTATCAATAGTGGGTACTGGCCTAATTCGGCCCTGCACCCGTTGTTAGGTGTTTTTTTCTGCACACGGAGGATGTTTCTACAGATCTCCATGTGCAGAGTTTCTGTGGGGAGCTTGTCCCATTGAGTGTACTCCTGGTCTGTGAGGGGACCCCACACTTCACTGCCGTATAGGGCACTGGGTTGGATTACACTTTCAAATATTTGGAGTCAGTTTCTTGTCGGTGGGTCGATGTTGAAAAGCCTCCTTCTTTTTGAGTGCCTTCTCCCTCAGTGCCTTGACTGCCAGGTCAAAACTCCTAGAAGAGCTGATGGTGAGACCGAGATATGTGTAGCTGGATGTGTGCTCCAATGTGTTGTTGTTGAGTGTGAATTTGTACCTGTTTCCCTGAGGTCTGGCTTTCTTCTGGAAAACCATGACTCTGGTCTTGTCCAGATTGACTGTCAGCGCCCAGGTCTGACAGTACTGCTCCAGCAGTGCCAGGTTCTGCTGCAGCCCCTGTTCTGTGGGCAACAGCAGGACCAGGTCATCTGCATAGACACACTGATACACACTCAACAGACACACACTGATTCAAACACAGCACAAACACACACACTGATTCAAACACTGCACAAACACACGCACTGATACACACACAGCAGACATGCCCACATGCTGATACAAACTCAGCAGACACACACTCTGATACACACAGTAGACACAGACAGTAATGCAAACACAACAGGCACAAACACCCTTATACACACACAACAGACACGCACACCGACACACAAGAACACCAACACTGACACACACACGGTGACTTACACACTGTCATGGACTGTGAGACTGCCCTACACCACTCCTACACCGTGCTGCTGTGCCCAGCGTGACCAGGCCTTTGACAACTCCAACACGACTGACCGGCTGACCGGCTGACTGACCGCTCGGCGCTCTGTCTCTCAGACCAGGACGGGAAGCTGCAGCGGGGGTCGCAGGTCGTCGACATGACCCTGATGATGCACTGCTGGGTCGTGCCCTCGCACTCCTTCGGGCGCCGGCTGCTCACCCTATATCCTCCCTGGAAACCTGTCGGAATTCCCCGCGCCTCTCCCAGCCTGCTTCCGGACAGGAGACGGAGCTGGCGTTCCGGGGCTAGGCTAGAAAGACATGGATGGTTATGACAAGCGAACATATAGTCCGGGCTGTTACTTGGTAAGAGAAGTAAACAACTGGAGTGACTAACTGGTAACTGGTCACTGCACTGAAGACATCTTAGACATTTGCAGGGTGATTAGCCAGCAGCCATATCACCCTGCAACTCACAACTGGCAACCCACTGGAGCTCAGCAGGTGTGAGCCTGGTCAGTACCTGGATTTTTCCTGGGAAAAACTAAGGTTGCTGCTGGAAGAGGTGTTAGTGGGACCAGCAGGGGGCGCTCACTCTGCGGTCCATGTGGGTCCTAATGCCCCAGTATAGTGACTGGGACACTGTACTGTAAGCAGGCGCTGTCCTTTGGATGAGATGTAAAACCGAGGTCCTGACTCTCTGTGGTCATTAAAAATCCCTGGGCGTTTCTCGAAAAGAGTAGGGGTGTAACCCCAGCGTCCTGGCCAAATTATCCATTGGCCCTTACCAATCATGGCCTCCTAATAATCCCCATCTATGAATTGGCTTCATTACTCTGGCTCTGGCTCCTCCCACTGAGAGCTGGTGTGTGGTGAGCGTTCTGGCACGCTATGGCTGCCGTCACATCATCCAGGTGGGGCTGCACACTGGTGGGGGTGGAGGGGAGACCCCATTACCTGGAAAGCACTTTGAGTGGAGTGTCCAGAAAAGCACTATATAAGTGTAAGCAATTATTATTATTATTTGCACATTCAAGATGCACTTTAACATGCCGCAATTAAAGAATGAGAGTTTGCTTTTGCCTGTTATTAGCAGTGCTCCTGATTTAGGGGTGACCTCAGTCACAAGGCCTGATTCAGGGTAGAAACAGGGTGCATAATTCTGACAGATTAAACAGAAAATACAAGAATTTTGCCTTGAAAAGGAATGGGTGCTCCACCTGATTCACTCTGTGGTGTATGTACTGTATGTACCGCCCTACAGTGGTTTAAACTGAGTTCTAGGCTGACCTGTGTCAATTCTATTGTATGTGACCTGAACTGATCTGTGTTTAACTGGACCTGTCCTGGATTCATGCTGAACTGAGCTTATGTGTGCTGCACAGTGTAGCACTGTGCTCAGGTAAGTAGCACCGAGCTGGTCTGTGCTGAAGACAGATGTAATGTGCTTGTCTGAGCAGAACTCAGCTGCATTGAGTTGAACTGAGCAGCTCTGAGATGATCTGTGTTGATCTGTGCTGAACTGAACTGCACAGGGCTGGTCTGTATTGAACTGAGTTGATATGGAACAAGTAAAAGTTTATTCCAAGCTGAAAAGAAAAGAGACACAACGTTTCGACTCTGGAACCTTCTTCTCTTTTTTTTTCAGCCTGGAATAAACCTTTACTTGTTCCTCTGCAGCCTACACATGCTGACGCAGCTCCCTACCTGAGCTGATATGTGCTGGTCTGTGTTGAACTGATTTGATCTGTGGTGCAGTAGTAGAATTTGCATTAGTGTTGTTTTGGTCAGATGTGTAGTTCTTGTATGATGCTGTGCCCATGTGCTGTGGACACGGATGTCCTGAGGTATAGCTTGGTCACTGTGTTGTGTACATAACGTGTGAAGAGCTGTTGTATTGTCATGTGTGGTAGAGGCGCCATTGCGCAGTAGTAGTGCTGTTGTCTTTCCTTGACTGGCTCACATATCGGGACTGTCCTGTGGAGAAGAGAGGACACCTGAGACCTCGAATTTGCCACTTCATCAGGTCAGTCCTGCTGTCTGTTTCTGACTGCATGTACAGTATCTGCCTCTCAAAAACAAAGTGTTTCTGGATGTGAGATACGATTCTCTCCGTCCGTGTGCCTGTCTGTCAGCATGAGTTTCACTCACTGCCTGTCTCTCACTGTCTGGTTGTTGGCATGTCTGTCTCTTACAGACTGTCTCAGTGCAGTGTTAATGTACTGGAGTGTCCAGTCAGTGTGTCTGTATTAACCCTTCTCTCTC